CATATTGCATTACATCACTGCACATGATATTGACAGTTGCAGTAACACATCATACAATGAGTAGTGAGTTAAACACCATTTTGAACAGTACTTCAGTTATATCACAGCATACCAGACTGTTGTGAGATTAAAGCCAGATCTGGTTCAGGCCTTTCACCAGGTTTACGCGTAACGGTCAGCGTATCCTGCCACATCGGTCGCAAACACACATGCAAAGACAAGTCAACTGTTCACCTAAATAAACTACGGACACAGAGTACAAACACAATGATGCCAGTCCTCACTATTGAAAGACATCAAACACATGGAAGTGTACCAATAATATGTTTCAATTCCTACAGGTAATATATGTCTAACATTTGGCAAATATTCAATAAGTATTGCTGGTGAAAAGCGTCACATCTAAAGACATAGTGGTACTCGTGTCCAACAGGGGATGAGTTGTGTGACGTAAGGACTCGTCTTCTTTTGGTAAAGACTGTACTCGGCCTGTCGTAATAGGAACATTGTGGTAACATATTCTGATGTGTAAAATTGTGTAATGTAATTTCGCACGTGTGCATGTTATTTCGGTAGTAATAAATTCAAGATAAATACACAATGTTTGACATGTTTTGTTGTGTGAATTGTCTCATAAAAAGGGATATGCATTTTTGTTTATGCCATCAACTATTTGTGTGAATGGGCATACCTCAGTAAACTACAGGTTGATGTCAATATTGATGTCTTCAGTATCATATGGCATGCTCTCAACCAAGCCAGGGAGCCTGACCACCCTATCCCGTTAGTCGCCTCGTACGACAAGCCTAGTCGCCTTTAACGACAAGCATGGGTTGCATGGGTTGAAGATCAATTCTACCCCGGATCTTCACGGGTCTAGATCATGAATCAAGTGATTACATGAAATGTGAAAGTGTTTGTTCTCTGCCTTATTTGATATTGTATGAAGCCATAACCGAAAGCAGCCAGATAGCATTACTCTTACAGTCTCTTACAGTGACAAATTGTTCTTATTGATGTTATTAAAATTATGAGTTATACTAACAAATAGTGGTTGGCTATTGGTTGGTATGTATTTTAACGCCACACGCAGCAATGTTTCAGCTATATGACGGAGGTCTGTAAATAATCGAGACTGGACCAGACAATCCAGTGATTGATATCATGTGCATCGATCCACGCAATTGGGATCGATGACATGTATCAACCAAGTCAGCGACCTGACCACCCGATCCCGTTAGTCGCCTTTTACGACAAGCATAGTCACCTTTTACGGCAAGAATTGGTTGCTGAAGACCTTTCCTACCCCGGAATCTTCACGGGTCTAACAAATAGTGACTTAGAGATTTGTCCAAGTCCAACCGCCAGACACCAAACACTACACGCAAAAGGCCATGTTTTACGCTATGCCGTTCTGTGCTAGCCCTTACACTGGACCATGCCACTTGGTGACAGCTTATGATTACTGACCAACAGATGACTCTAGAGGACGACGCATTTTTATTTAAACAAAGAGAAATAAAAGCAAAAGAATAAAAGATCTACTCTTCATCTGTAATTTGGTTTTTACTTTCAATCATATTTGCAATTTATTTATAAGAAATGGTCCAATTTATTCTGGCATGTCCATATTGCTCTGTGTGGTTTTACGCATGGTCCCCACTATGGTGATCACCCTTCAGTGTCTGACGATCTCTAGCCCATGTTTATATTGTGTTGTAAACTAATACTTTCTGCTTTTAAATATTCTCAACTAGTTATAAATCGAATCTGTGATATTCTAGTTATTGTACTGTCCATCGTTGACACCTTTTTATTTAAAAAAATATAAATATATGTATTATTAATATATAACATTTTGTCAAGATATGGCTGAAATACTGCCGACGTGACGTTAAATATTAATTCACTCACTTACTCACTGTGGTTTTACTGTCAACAGTTAGGAGCGCGATCACCACGTCACACATGCTGGGACTGCGATAGTTTTTTCCTTATAAGAATTGGGGGGGCACGGGTGGCCAAGTCGTCTAAGGCGCCGCGATTCGCTGTGCAGAGCTGCGTCCCTTGGGCACGCCAGAAACCTATGATTGTGGGTTCGAATCCCGGTTCGCCCCGATTATGTTTCTAGGTTTGTCAGCACCATACCCGTGCTCGTGGGTTTCACTGAAGTGGTAAACGTCTAAGACCTGCATCACTTCGGGCTTTCCTCCCACATTAAGCTGACCCGCCGTGATGTAACTGGAATACTGTTAAAAGCGGCGTTAAACCCATCTCACTCACTCACACTTATAAGAATTGATGGAGTGAACGTAAACAAGCAGTTTGTGTTTTAACTTACATATAGTTTGGTTATCAATTATTAGCAATAATGACAATCTAAGTTTATCAGATTTCTTTCTTGTTAACATCAAACCATCTCATCACAATTAAACTTATACATCAATTCTGGGTTCTCCTCCAGATAACCAGCTAAACCGATTTTCTGTTTAGTCCTGTATCAATCCGACAATTTATATCTGTTATTCGTCGACGCCTAGCCTCTCCGTTGTACATGGATAACTCCAAGCGTGTTGTAGAGAACCTCATATGTCGTATGTACGTTTATTCTATCTACGTTCATGTGATACATTATCGTTGTGTAAGTATGTGGACACCAGTGTGAAAAACAACGAATACGCTACAAGGGACATGTTCAAAATGACGCACACTCTAAGTGCGAAGAAAAATACAGCTGAAAACAATGTATATATCATGACAATGATGATAAATATGGAACTTTTCAATCTCATAGAATGATTGTGAAATTATTCATTGTCACTTTGTCAATATACTTTGTGGTATATCGGCGATGAATCCGGGTTAGAAGTGATTCCGAGCAACCTCGCAATAGTGCGAGGCAATTGAATGGATCGGGTTGTTGGCGTGTCAAAGTACCCCGACGGCGTGAATCGTTGATCTTAATATCAATCAATTAGTTTTATCCGGACCGTATTATTTACAGATCGCCGTTATATAACTGGGGCGTTAAACGACACAGACACAGCAATATTCCAGCTATATGACGGCGTTCTGTAAATAATCGAGTCTGGACCAAATAATCAAGTAATTGACATCATGAGCATCGATCCCAACAATTGGGACACGATGACATGCATCAACCAAGTCAGCGAGTCTGACCACCCGATCCCGTTAGTTGCCTCTTACGACAAGTTTAGTCGCAAGCATGGGTTGCTGAAGACCTATTCTACCCCGGATCTTCACGGGTCTGACTCACTCGGTTATTCAGCAGAAAATATATATAAACCAGCTGTGAGGAGAGATATCCTTTGTATTACAAGCAGTCAAATGAGGAGGAAAAAGAGATCCCTCACTGATTAAATATTGTTTTCTTCAGAAATCTATTGGCCATGTTAGGTGATATCTCAATGCCTGCTGCAATAACGACCGAAGGGCAAAGCTGGCTTTCTTATTGTGATAAACTATTTTGAAACTGTCACAAAGTTTTTGTCACACCAACAAGGTCATCCTGTTTGGGAGTCGCTAGCCAAATCCCCATACTAGTCGACGCTTTACGTGCGACATTCAGTGTGAGAACTTGTGCCGGGAGTGATACAGGCACTCCCACTAAGATTATTTTCACAAGACTAAAACAAAATGCAAGAAAACTAATACTATAAAAATATTAAGCTCCTACTTTCGCAAAATGACAGCCTTGAAAAGGGTACTGGTGTGTGTTTTGGGTAACACATGAAAAGAAGAAGAAAGTTAATCTGCACTTTGAAGAGAGCGAGAGAGACTTATGAGGCGACCAGAACAAGTTTGCCCTGATGATTTGTTTGCGACACCTGGTTCGCGGGATGGGAAAACTATTAGACTATATCTATATGTATGGACAACGATTATTCTGACCGCCAGGCTGTCAATTTTAATTATTATTTTCACATTAAGCAGCTCCCGTCCTTCAATTACAAACATAAGAGGGACAAAGGATTACATAAGAAATATTGCATTTGAATATAGCCCATCCTCCGGTAATGGAAATGAACATGTGAATAAAAGCGTTTTATTTGCTACTCCTAAATAGAATGGAGGTAAGGTAATGTCGCAGACATGCTAAGTGGCACTAATTGATTTGGCTATTTTGTGGTATATATATTGAGGCAAATCATGCACTTGCTATTCACCCCAGAGCCCAAAGAGGTAAGACATTTTCAAAAATGTATATACACGTTTATAACCATATATTCCGATTGCATACAAAGATATTATTGGTATCTATATATGTTTTATGATATCCAGAATTCGAGGATTATCTAATTTATCTAATTACAAACTGAATTAGTTCAACTCACGTACTTCACAACACGCCTCGATTTGAACGTTAGTCTGAGGGAGCGCATACATTCTTGTAACAAATATGCACGTGTGTGTTGTTTTTGTTGATTGCAAATAATATGTCACTTACATAAAGGAACTTCAGAATGTCAGCGATATTTGTCCCTCGTTGATGCCTTTACATAATCACCACGGTTGTTATATCAACGATAACGCCTGATGAAACAATGGCAGATTTAAAACCTGTTCTACAGAATGGATTATGCTACAGATAGTATTACCTTAAAAACTCATAAAATAATGCACAACCTTTGTTGGGTCTTTACAAAATACATTTTAACCTTATTCAATTTGAAGCTTCTGTGCGTTTGTATTCTATTTAAACACTGGGTATAAATGTGCATATATATTAGACAACTTGGGAATTCATTGGTGCAACTAACTAAATAATAACACTGTGTTATAAGAAAATGAATATCAAATATATACAGGTCCCGGAAAACCATATCTGTTTGTCTTATTTTTACTTATCACTTACGTTTTTACTTCAATAATTATTACGAAATAACATCAGACGAAATGAGTGTATAGCTTTCTGTTTGGCAACGAGTGGTATTGAGTTGTCTTATTCTTTCAGTGTGAAGTAACCTGAAGAACCAACAATGGAAGACACAAAAATGTTCTACAGTGACGACTACCCTACAGAGTTTGACCCAAACTTTTACGTACAACTATATGAAGATCCAGAGCCTAACCCAATGTTTGGGGACCTAATGTCATTCACCCTGACCAATTATCACAAAACTTTTGACTCAGGTAAAACTGCACGTTAGTGTCGATACACACTTTATCTGCTTGTCAGATTACTTTAACAACGAATAGAGCAATGACTGAACAGTGCTTTGGTTCATGTTAAAAAATGTGTTTCGTACAAGGGCGATCTTTTCATTTACGATCTAGTTTTGTTTCCATAACAAAACAAAAGCGACAAAACCCTTTCCTTAACCACAAGACAGCTCTGCTCAAAGCAGTGTCTGTTTACGATTCTGAAAGTATTATGAGCATGTTTTCATCAATCACAATACAATTATAGTAAACTACTGTTATTGCGAACACGCTTATATGGAACTGACGGATATAATGAACTTACTTATTTTGTCCCGACCATTTGCTGTAGTTATTCTGTATATATGCTTATAACGAACTACAGTTATAACGAACTAAAATTAGTAGTCCCCATGAGTTCGTTATAACCGTAATTTACTGTATGATGCCAGGCGTTCGAGAAAAGGTGAGCGCATCCTCCCACCGTTGGCACACGTACAAAGGCAAATAAACATGACAAAACCCTTCCAATATCCATACGAAATCGATTCAACGATTCAGACTCTCAGATCTTCAGATCTCATGAACATGTGTTTATGAATCACTATGAAGGTGTGATTATACCAGGTGTTCGCGAAAAGCTCTTGGTATCTTACCACACCGTTGGCACCCGCCACAAACACATGTAAAGGCAAGTCAATTGTCCACCTGAAAAAAACGGGAACATATGGTACAAGTCAAAATAAAGAATTGCATCGGGCATTATGTCTCTGATGCATCCACTGCCCCAATGTTCTCCAGTTCTCTACCGTAAAATCTTTTGAAATCTTTACTGAGGCCTTAAATGTTGGAAACTAGATCAAACAACTTCTGAGTAACAGTTGTCTGACCATTTTTGAAATCTTGGTAGAAAGAGCATGCTCGATTGCACCTCAAAAGTTGGAAATGTAGAAAGACCACAAGGGCTGGAGCTGCAGGAATATTGCTGACAATGAAGGCAAAGGTGACTAGTGAAACGAATTGACATATTTTCTGATATAAGACACTTTTTTTCCTGTTCATCCTGTTGTAATATTCATTCTTTTGCTTTCATGTTGTCTGGGATTGAATGCAAGAGTTATCGTTCCCAGCATATACTGCGCTACAATGTTTGAAAACGAGTTCGAATTATTTTTCTGCCATATGAGAAAATTGAAGCTAGGTGACATAACATATTGTGAAATAAGTTAATCGAGGCCTCCACGGAACCGAATTGAATTTTATGGTTTGAGTAAGCAAACAGAATGTAGCGCTATGGAATAGTGTATCTGCACTCTACCATCCTGAAACACACTGGTCGTAGGCGACCCCACGGTCACTTCCAGGACAGGGCGCCAACATTCGTTGTGCAGAGTTGTGTCCCTTGGGCACGCCAGAAACATATGATCGCCCTGATTATGTTTCTAGGTGTGTCAGCACCATATCCGTGCTCGTGGTTTCACCAAAGTGGTACACGCCTGAGACTTGCGTTACTTCGGGCTTTTCTCCCACGTAACGCTGACATGTCGTAATATGACAGGTATGCTCTTCTAGCAGCGGTAAACCAACTTACTTACTCCCTAGGGCCAGCGACAGGGACACTTTCTGAAAGGAATGTACTCTGTGTTTTGTTTGGACACTACCATAATATTTAGAAGATTGTGGCATGCATCCTGCATGTACATTCCACAATGAAGGCATAAAATGATCTTGAGAAATGTCCTCAATTGTTGGAAATTATATAAAAAAACCTTCCTGACAGGGCCTCGAATATTGGCGTGACTCAAACAGTTTTAGGGGTAGAGGTTTAAGTGTTTACGTACTTCACGTGGGTTTCCCATGGCTTTCACATAAAGGTAATCCAACCCCAGTCATCAACGTGACGAGCAACGCTACCTTGATATTACCAATCGGCAAACCCCCACCGATCCTGTTTCCACAGGGGTTGTCCTATTTACATTAAAATTCATTTAGATAAACATTATGCATCATTTATATTAATGCTTCCAGGTATGTAGGTGTTATCTTAATATAGGTGCCTCGAACTCTTCTTAGAAACGAATGCTGGCACTCACAGATTTTCTACGTTTTAATTTCTTGACATTTAAAAGCAGAATTATCAGGTAGGTTCCAATAGCACATTATTTCTACATTTAGTAAAATATTTGATGACGGCTTATCCTTCCCCTCTAATGGACTGACGATAGGTGACGTGAATGTTGTTGCAGTTTTGTAGTGTTAAATATAGTGTGTGACTTGCTCATGAAAACAGATCTACATGCGTTTGCTTGTTTAGGCTGGATAAAGAATGTGCGCAAGAATATGCGGATTCTGAATACGCAGAATGAGTGAGTGACGTTTTATTTCTAAGTCTTTAATATTATGGAGTATGGAGATGGACAGCAGGTATGGGTTTCATTTATTTTAACCATGTGATTCTTCTCGCAACCAGCGACAGCTTTAGACACTGTCCTACTTAACTGACCACACAATTTCAGACACACAAGAAACACTTGATCATGCAACATGCAGTTGTGATGTGCGTTTATATTGAGAAGATTATTATGTTTGTGTGTGTATTTAAAGGCATTTCGCTTTATTTTAGTCGAAGGAACCTTCAGCTATTAACAATGATAACAAAAACACGAAACAAAATTACGGGGACCGAGTTGTATCCTCTAGGCATGCAAGTTCTCTACGGTGGTGGCTTCGAATTCTGGTTCGCTATGCTTATGTGTCTAGGTTTTTAGGTTTCTATTGTAGGTTTCACCAACATGGAAAACGACCAAGAGCTACATTTCGTCGTATTTTCCTATCTTATCATGTTGACACTGCGTGATATAACTGAAATACTGCTCAAACGACGTTAAACACAGCTCACTCAGTCACTCATGTAAAAACTAAGTAACAACATTTTCGATGTCCAGCAATGATGACGTTTGCAAGACATACTAGCTGAAGGTTGAGTTTGGTCATGTAGAGAGTAAATTGGAATGTCACCTGGTGTAGTTCAACATGCGCTCAAAATAGCTAATGGTGGTGGTAGTAAAGTCAAGACTACCTATTCTCATTCTGTGTTGCAGGTACTATCAAAGGGAAGACGCTCTTGGATATTGGGACAGGTCCAACAATACACAACATCATCAGCGCAGCACCACACTGTGATAATATCTTCTTGTCAGATTTCTGCCAGAGCAACAGGGACATCTTAAAGCAATGGCACGAAGGATCTTTGGAATTCAGTTTTGATAAAATCTTTGATTTTGTACTCAGACAAGAAGGGAAAAGGCAAGTAAAGTTTTTTTAATAATTATTGATTATTCTTTCGAATTTCTTTGCTGTTACATAACAGTGAAGATCCGGGTTCAAACTGTTTTTCAGCAACACATGCTTGTCGTTGGAGACGACTTGGGTGGTCAGGCTGATACATGTCATCGTTCCCAATTGCGTAGATCGATGCTTATAATGTCAACGATTGTCTTGCCTAAATTCGATTATTTACAGACCATATAGCTAGAATATTACTGAGTACGGCGTTAAACAACAAACAAATAAACAGAGCATTGCTATTACATTTTCCTTCAAAAACTAATATTTATAACATGAAATCCATATATTAAAATAACAATATGTTGACAACTAAAGGACTATAAAACAGTCAGCAGAAGATCGTACATTCATGCAGGTAATGTAAAATAAGCAAATCAAAATAAACCTTATGTAAATAGTCATAATTTAACTTGAGTAACTGAAGATATTATTACAGAGTAACATGCGTTCAATGATTCTCGTGGTACATGAGCCTATATCATGGTGATTGTAATTTGATTTTGAATTAGGCAACCATGTTATTAATAGGACGTTTGTTGGTCAATTACATTTAGATATTAAAACATAACATACTGGGAACGGTTAACTGTGAGTGGGCAGCAATGTTTTCTATATATGTTACAGATAAGGATCGGATACGGGTAAGAGGCGACAATGTATTCATGGTATTATGACCGCTTTGACTTATATGTGTCATGTTTTTAATCAACAGCAAAAGTGATACCTCTGAGAGAGTGGCAAGCGTTAGAGACAAGATTTGTGGGATTCTACACTGCGACATCAGGGACGAGAACCTTTTTTCGACCAACTTCCTTCCGCAGGTCGACATCATCACATCATCCCTCTGTCTGGAAGCAGTTGCCACAGACCAGGCCTCCTATGAACGGTACGCCAGGAATATGGTCGGAATGTTGAAACCCGGAGGCCACTTGGTCATGTTTGGGTGTGTAGGAGGAACTTTCTACACACTGGGACCAAAGAGGTTCATCAGTTTTGGGATGTCGAGGGATGAGTTGAAGTCTACGTGGAAGAAGGTTGGGATTGAGATCATATCCTGGGACGAGTGTGTACGACCCCAGCAAGAATATTACGATGCGGATGCCGCCTTTAGCATGGTTGGGAGAAAGGTTCCAGACTTTTAAACGTACAATGAGATCAAGCTGCTATGCAGATTATTGACTGTTTTGTGAACATTTCTTTTCTTTGCAATATTGAGTCAAGGCTGAAATGGGTTAATCAGCTTACAGACACAAAAACATCTTTTCACAAAGGACGTTTTATGATCGAGTTGCGTTTTAGCCCATTAAAAATATAATTTGCAGGTATTGTTATCAAAGTTAATTGATATATCTGTACAGATTTGACCATCCAATCTTTGTCCATTTTGTCCATAATATGTTGGGGTTTATTTTCAATTATATCAAAGAAATTCAACTTGAACCAAAGACTTGATCGCAGGTCAATTTTCAAATTCATCCTTTTTGTCACATCACTCAACAGTGTTATCCATACCTTGAAAAACTATTAATTCCCATATATATCAACACTTATGATGGCTTCATGGTGTATTCGAAAGATTTACCTCAATTGTTTCTTTGTAGAAATGCGGACAGGGTTGACCTGGGCTAATCTATGTTTAACTTTATGCATGCCAGGGTATTCTGTCATCTGACGCTTAGCTAGTTTGTTCATTGAATTACGTTTCCTGTCACAAAGCTGGTTTCTCCCCGCTGTCTAACCCTTGCCGCTCGGGCTCATCAACTGCTGTGTGGCTCGATTTTCTGGCTAACACAACTGAGCATGACGACAAGCTTTGCTATACGGACAGTGGAAATAAAGTTTGAGGCAATATCTGGACGTATATTGTGTGGTGTAGACTGACGACTAGCAAGTAATTGTCATGCTTTACGCATGGTTCCATATACAAATTCAGATGTACCACCGATATGAAGCTGAGAACGGAGATGCCAAGTATAACCTGTACTTACACACGGAAGCAATTTATTTCTTGTGTGTATGCTCTCTCCTGAAAATGTATCACTGAAGTATTTGCATTGTAATAAATATATTAATTAATAAAACTTTTCACTTTGGTAATCTCCGACAGATATGATTTTCTGGGATTTGTTACACCTTTGATTGATACGGATTACGTACATGTAGTCACTTACTCTAATGTATCTGCTAGTTAGACATTTCAAATGTCATGTTATAGCACTGTTACTAAAGTAAGGCAGTTTCTTTTATCGAGTAAAAATAGCTGATTCGTCTAGTCACGCAGTCATTTTACTTGATCGAATAATTTCCACGAAACATTCCGGCAGAGAGTTGTTTTTTTAGTATTTTATTATGTTCATGTATTGTTAATTGTAGAAGATACTTACATCACTGTATCTCAGATCGCAAAACTGATAACATCAAACATGTAATTAGTACACAGTGAATTGTTACATATAATTTCCTACATATTCCTTTTTGAACAAAAAAGCCTACATGTGTACTGTAATCGGTGTCCACTGTTAAAAGGGTATAAGTGCAGTCAGCCATGGTAAATGGAGAGACAATAATAAGGTGATTAATTATAGTATTATTATAGCAGAATATGCGGTATAAGTGTAGTCATTAAAAGATATACACATTACACATATACAGATGAAATACACGATATGATACAGTGCAAGAACAAAGTAAGATACGGTTTTTATTAAAAATAATTATATGAATATGATTATGGATTTAGTTAATATGTTTAATGATTACGGTCTACATACATCTTCAAACACGTGTACAGGCCAACACGGTTGAGATACAACATCGGCATACTCAACTGGAGTTTATTACTGCCGGTTGTAAGCTCATTGTTTGACTGAGCACACTTGTGTCGGGGCTGCGATATTTGAATTTAAATTTCCGGCCTGAATTTAGTGTAAGGTCTCAAGATCAGCATGGGACTGTTAATCAGATTCTATCTACTGTTCAGCAACATTGTCACTGCATTACAGAACTCAAGGATTACGAAGGTGAACGAGGGGAAAGGCAGACGCTTGGGTTATTATTGTCTGGAGTTTAGCGGCATTTCAGACACTAATTGAACAGAGTTCACCTGCACATGTCCACTTTAGTCAGACAGACTGTAACCAAAAAATGCAATCAGCTGTAGCTCTTAATCCCTTATAGCAACAACCAGGGTGAGGGCACAGTAAGGTTAAATCGTGTCCACCAGAAAATCTCCGGTGGCTAACGCCATATCTCCCATCAAGTCAGCTCTATTTCTCAAGCATAATTTAAATTTTTACATTTTGAATAAAAGGAATTAAAAAATCATATTTCACATTACCGAATACAAACCTTTATACACCCGTTCTACACTTCGTTCCAATTGACCTGAATCATTCAACTCGCTCGTGAAGGTCGAAGGTCGTATACGACTTTAAAGTGAATACATTTTAACCGTTGAGTTTGTTTTGCATTAATTTCATTAAATACATTGTTAGGGAGAATAATAACACGTTATATAGATTAAACATCTTCCTAACCTGAGTATAAGCTCACATGTACTATAAGTACCGTACTAGTTTACTTTGACATTGAGTATCACTGTTGAGTCGGCATTGTATGCTGTCGGAATGACTTCCCACAAATCCCTGCGTCAATGGACCCGCGAAGATCCGGGGTAGAACAGATATTCAGCAACCCATCTTTGGCGTAAAAGGGCGACTGCGCTTGTCGTAAGAGGCGACTATCGTGATCGGGTGGTCAGTCTCGCTGACTTGGTTGATGCAAGTCATCGTATCCCAATTGCGTGGATCGATGCTAATGATGTCACCACAGGATCGTGTGGTCCAGAATCGTTTATTTACAGGCCACCGTCATATAGCTGGAATATTGCTGATTACGGCGTTAAACAATGAACAAACAAAATTACTGTTCATGTGAACTCTCAATTCCGTTAGAATGTGATATATTCAGCCAGACGTTATGCAGTGAAAGACGAATCGGATTTTTTTTGTCCCATTAAAATACGCGCAAGTGTACCTGTATATTGCATACCTAGTGTCACGTAATTGTCCAGTGTGATGTAACAACGAGACATAAAATGGGAAATGAAAAAGAAACTAACCAAACATTAATGTGGTGGAAAATATCGCCAATGAATTGGAGTACACGCGCATGAATTCGTATGATAAACTATCAAAAATTTTGAGAGGTTAGGCCGGGTTCATTAAAGATCGTTACAATATGTAAAAAAGGTGAAATTTGTAAAACTTCTATATAGGAAACATCTAACCAAAGACGATTTTTAAATAGTAATGAAATGATATAATATAAAGTATATTTCACATGATACAAAATACTTTGCACACAATTAGTTAAATATTTTAATAACGCCACAAATAAGTTGAATTAAGTTAAAATGAGTTGAATCAAGTGTTATGCTTGTAGACACACCTTTATGTATTTGCGAAACTAAAACTGTCGAGCAAAGAAAAATATTCTCGCACATGGGCCAAACTTTCTCGTCCACGGCAAAATATTTCAATAACGCCATCAAATCGTTGAATTAAGTTTAAATGAGTTAAATTATATGTCATGAAACTTCCAAGAAAACCTTTATGTATCTGCGACATTAAATCGCGAGTTTTGAGCAAAGGAAAATATTCTCGCCCATAGCCCTGCCCATTGGCGAAATATTTCAATAAAGCTATGAAATAGTTGATTAAGTTAAAATAAGTAAAATTATGTGACATGAAACTTCTCAGAACACCCTTATGTATTTTCGACATTAAAACGCGAGTTTCGAGCAAAGGAAAATATTCTCGCCCATGGGCGAAATATTTCAATGTCACTATAAAATCGTTGAATGAAGGTAAAATGAATTAAATTTTGTGTCGTGATACTTTAAGGAATACATTAATGTAAACTCAAAAACATTTGAGTAAAGGCAAATATTCTCGACCATGGGCCACACATAGTGTAAATATTGCGTTTTTGAACAGAGGATGAGTTGCGTGACGTAAGGACTCGTCTTCTTTTGGTAAAGACTGTCCTCTGCCTGTCATTATAGGAACATTGTGGTAACATATTCTGATGTGTAAAATTGTGTAATGTAATTTCGCACGTGTGGATGTAATTTCGGTAGTAATAAATTCAAGATAAATACACAATGTTTGGCATGTTTCGTTGTGTGAATTGTCTCATAAAAAGGATATGCATTCTTGTTACTGCCATCAACCATTTGTGTGAATGGGCATACCTCAGTAAACTACAGGTTGATGTCAATATTGACGTCTTCGGTATCATATGGCATGCTCTCAACCAAGCCAGGGAGCCTGACCACCCTATCCCGTTAATTGGCCCTTACGACAAGTCGAGTTGCCTTTTACGACAAGCATGGGTGGCATGGGTGTAAGATCAATTCTACCCCGGATCTTCACGGGTCTTCACGGGTGAATCAAGTGATTACATGAAATGTGAAAGTGTTTGTTCTCTGCCTTATTTGTTATTGTATGACACCATAAGCGAGAGCCGCCAGATAGCCTTACTCTTACAATTTCTTACAGTGACAAATTGGTCTTATTGGTGGTATTAAAATTATGAGTTTTACTAACAAATAGTGACTTAGAGATTTGTCCAATTCTAACCGCCAGACACCAAACACTACACGCAAAAAGCCAGGTTTTACGCTATGCCGTTCTGTGCTAGCCCTTACACTGGACCATGCCACTTGGTGACAGCTTATGATTACTGACCAACAGATGACTCTAGAAGACGACGCATTTTTATTTAAACAAAGAGAAATAAAAGCAAAAGAAAAAAGATCTACTCAGCATCTGTAAGTAAGGTTTTTACTTTCAATCATATTTGCAATTTATTTATAAGAAATGGTCAATTTATTCTGGCATGTCCATATTGCTCTGTGTGGTTTTACGCATGGTCCCCACTATGGTGATCACCCTCCAGTGTCTGACGATCTCTAGCCCATGTTTATTTTGTGTTGTAAACTAATACTTTCTGCTTTTAAATATTCTCAACTAGTTTTAAATCGAATCTGTGATATTCTAGTTATTGTACTGTCCATCGTTGACAGCTTTTATTTAGTCTAAATATATGTATTAATATGTGTATAACTTTTCGTCACGAT